TCATGGAATAAGCTACCACAGGAGCTGGTGGAGCTGGGGAGCGTACATGCTTTCAAGGAGGAGCTTGATAGGTGTTGGTTGAACTTATTTCCTGAATGAGATGCATAGTTTAATGTCTGGTAGGTTATAGGTTTTCTCATTTACTACCCGCCCCCGAAATCGGGGAGCGCTTCCAAATGTTAGGTCTCTCGCATGAACAAGGGGAGAGGATATTCTTGTTTTTTCCTTTCACTTCCCTTGCAGAGGCGGAGACGATTTGTACGAGAAGAAAACGCGCATAACTTTAAAATAGAACACTCAAAGTGGAAGGGGCCAACATGTGGCTTATTACCGAAGGAACTCTGTACTCTCGATTGTCCGTGGCCATTTGCTGTCCTGTGCAAACTGACTGACTGAGATGAGATCCTATTTATCATTCTTATTTCAGCAAAGCTGGGTGCCCACGTAGTGAGCGCACCATCAAAGGGGTTCTGGACATTCGATAGGCCGTGGCCTCATTCAGTCATTTGCAACCTGATTTAACCTGACTTTTGGTTTTAGTTCGTTTAACGATATAAACGTGCTGCCTTCAGTGACCTTGAAGGCTCCCAGTTATCGCGCGCTGTATTGTTGCCGAAGTCATGGATACTAGTGACGACTCCCTAGAGCTGGTTTTTGGTGCCTTAGATACAGAAAATAAAGGATATATTACCGTCGAACAGTTTGTGTCAACGTTTCGGGAGTTTTATGAAGGCCCCAACCAGCAAGGTCGTAAAGTCTCTACCTCGCGCTCGGTATGTCCTTGATTTTCGTGATAATAAGCACGTTTAGGCGATCGAAAATCTTGTACATGTCTTGGATCCCCAAAATGACGGCATAATACATTTTGAGGATTTTAAAAAGGCGTTTCAGTCCCCAATAGGTATGCTGGTGTTCCAAAGGAGATAATTAAACCTGAAACTTCAGAACTACCTGATCATTCCGATGATCTCAATCCTCATGCCACACAAATGGATAACAATATGTTTTCACCCTCCAGTGCGACTAATAGATCGATATGCTTCTCAGATGGAATC